GTGTGGCCACTCAGGACATCATCAGACCTCCCCGGGGAGAAGAGACCTGATCCCTCCACCCTGCACGCAGGAGGCAGCCCACGTTCAGATCCTTCATGGCACCAGTCCCCACACAGTGAGCCTGCCCACAGATGACTGGGCCAGATCCCTCCTCAGACCCTCAGACATCTTTGTCGCCAAATGACTCACTCCGTCTTTGGAATATCTGTGGTCAATTAACTCCACTTAAGGCTTCCATTCCTATGATCCTCGCATGCCAAAAGAGAGTCAAGTTATCTCCTCTTAACCCCTTAATGCTCTGTACTTCCTTTCTTTGGCTTCTCTCCTCAAACCACTATGCCCTCTGGAATCTCCTTCCTTTATGGAAAAGGAAAAAAAACCTATAAGCACAACATCTCCCCAACTTATACTGCGTATTTCACCTACCATAGAACTAAGGGTAGCAGTGAAAATTTATTGGCTCCTTAATGCCACCTTAGAACCACCACACTTCCACCCTGGTACCCATGCCATCTGACTATACCACCGTGCACTCTTCTACCTTTTTACCATCTACTGACCTCCTGGTCACATCTTCAAGACATAACCCTTCTCTTCTCCCCTCAACCCCAACCTCTGTCCTCATTCTAGAAAACTTCAGTGTCTTTGTAGGCAATCCACCCAAGACCTTCACACATTTCTTCTTTTTTTTTTTTTTTTTCTGCTTTATCTCCCCAAATTCCCCTGGTACATAGTTGTATATCTTACTTGCAGGTGGTTCTAGTTGTGGCATGTGGGATGCCGCCTCAACGTGGTCTGACGAGCGGTGCCATGTCCGCGCCCAGGATCCGAACCAGAGAAACCCTGGGCCAGCCAGAGCAGAGCGTGCACGAACTTAAGCACTCGGCCATGGGGCTGGCCCCATTTCTTGACCTCAAATGCAAAATAACAAATCTCACCTCTACTCAACTTAGACTCCCTAGCACTGCCAGTGATACATCTTGAAACTTGTTGTCACCAAGAATGGTTCCACACCCAAAATCTTAACTGCAAATATCACATTCTCTGGCCCAGCTGTCTTTCCTCTAGTGCTCTCAGGACCCTCGCTTGCACACACTTGCTCTTCAAATTCATTGAGCCCTCTAGCTCCTGGGTCTTCATTTCCTCATAGTCCATCAGCCTTCCCCTAAGCAGATTACAGGTAATTGGCTGTCTGAACTGCTCACCACCAGTACTCTCAAATGCAGGCCTGTCTCTCCCTATATTATATTCATCAGGCAAACTCCCAAGACAGGATCAATGTCATCTTGGGACCTAGAAGGCTGAGCACTCTTAAGTAAAATGTTATAAACATTCATATTATTGTCATAATAAATATGTGGTCTGTGATCTTAGGATGTCAATACACTTCCTCAATCCTTTCATTTGATAAACTCTCCTTCCTACTTTCCTTAGTAATTATTTTAAACCCATAGTCCCTGTTGAGGAATCTTATCAAAGCCCACGCACTTCACTCTAAGTAGACAACATAGTCTTTTTCTTCACTGAAAAAAACATTGCATCGTCAGAGGTAAGACGAAAAGGAGGGAGTGTGGTGTCATAAAAGTGAACTTTCTTTTGAAAATCCTCTACCATCTCTATGAGACTATTAAATAGAAAAGTTCTCAGGGCTCACTCCAGGCTCTCTTCCCTCCTCATGTTCAGAGGTCTATCTCATCTACTCTTATAGCTTCAATTATCTTCTTCACGTAAAGGACTTTGAAATCTCTATGTTTAGTCCAGACCATTATCCTATGCATCATTAGAACTTCAACTCAACATTTCCAGTTATATGTCTAGAAAACACCTCAAATCCTCATGTCCAAAATTATTCTTTCTCTATCTCTGTCTCTCTCTGACTCTGTCTCTGTCTCTGTCTCTCTCACACACACATTGCTTCTCTTATCTCCTCAGTAAAAGTCATCACCACCCAGTTGTTTGACATAGAAACCTAGTAGTCATCCTTGCCTCCTCCCTCTGCCTCACCCAGTTCATCAACAATTTCTACTAATATTACCTCCTAGCCTTCTCTCAAGTCCAATCACTTTTCCCTGTTCAAATAATGAACAACCCTGTTCAGATAAGAAAACTAAAGCTGAGAGATGTTAAGACGTTGCACAATGTCACACAACTAGTAGGTGACCGAGCCGACTCAGACTCCCATCTGCTTCCAAAGCTTGTGCTTGAAATTAGAAAGTACTGTCCCACTTGGAGGAGCTCTCAGAGCCAAAGATCTCTCCATTAGACTATTTGAACTGCAGTATGGCCCAAAACCCAAGCAAGGAAGGCACTGGGGGTAATCAGCCTTCCAGGAAAGCATTTAAAGCCTCGAATAAAATCAAGGATTGTTCAAAGTACATCTATGTCCAGGGGGTGCTCCTGAGGCAGTTTCTACTGAAGCCAAAAAATAGCCTTTATGCACAGAATGAAGAGATAGGACACAAACGGCTACTGAATAGAAAGAGAATACATCATGGAATGTGACCACTGATGAGCATGCGCCATGAGCGAGAAAAATCCTTTGCTTTTTAAGCCACTGAGATTTTGAGGTTGTTTTTTACCACAGTGTAACCTGGTTGATCCTGACTGGCTCCCTTTCTTTCTTTTTTCCTTCAGGCTTATGTGATACCTCACTATCAAATCCAGAAAGAAATAAAGATTGAAAGGGCTGCAAAGTACTGTCCTTCTCCGAGAAAATTTTTCTAATAATTCTATTTACCCTCTTGTTAGGTTCACGTACCTTCCTGGTTTCTCTCTTTACACTTCTAATGTGAGTGAAGGTGTCCATTGGAGGGACTGAGAAGAAATGAATGTTAAGGGGTAAAAATAAATGAACGGTAATTTTTCAGAATCCCTCAAAGTGAAATTGCCTTGAAAATTACATAAGAATAGACCATTAGGCCTCTGGAAAGCTGATATAAATAGGGGCTTTTTTATACTCTATTATCTTTCTAGAGCTATATCTTTATGTCTCCCTGAATATGACCAGCCAAAATATTCTTTACACTAGAAGTTGCCTCTACCTCTACTCAGCAACTCAGAATTTTACGTTACTTTTGGTTAAAACCATGGGCTTTGGAGTCTGCAAAAATAGGTTTTTGCACTGGTTCTTTGCCACTTCCCAGCTGTGAAAGGTTGGGAAGGTCTAAAATGAGGACTATAAGTGTCCATCCCATAGGATCGTTGTTAGGTTTAAGCCATAGGTGAATGTACAGTGTTATTGCAGCGTGAGGCAGGGCTTATAGGTGCTAGGTACTAGTAGTCATAGTAAAACTATCATTTTTATGGTTATTGTTATTGTCACTAAGTAACAGATATTCACTGACAGTGTTTGTCTATCTAATCCATAGAAGCTGGATCTGAAAGGCAAGAGAATGAGAAGGCTCTATTAGAAGATGGGAGAAACAAATTCCGACATACACGCCAACTGAAGAACAGATGGCTCTTCTGGACAACTTATGAATTAACTTCTGGAAAGAAATCAAGAAACAGTCTCTGCAAAATTACCCATTTTAGTTTAATCTTTATTCCTATCAAAGTAATTTACGTACCTTTGCAGGCAAATCTTACTACCATAAGGCTTATAACAAAAAATAACAGTCACTTGTTTCGGGTGGGGTAGAGGTGGACTCAAAATACTTGTTATTATGTGGGAAAGGTGAAGGAAAAGGCTATTTCTAGAATAACTCCTAGATTGGGGCCTAAGCAACTAGATGGGTGACAGATGAGTTAACGAAGATGGAGAAAACTGGTGGAAGGACAGGCTTTCCAGCAGAAGGGAAAGCAAAGAATCAAGAGTTCTGATTTGGACCTAGAAATTTAGACATCAAAAAGGAAGACACTGAGTAGACAACTGGATAGACAGCCTAGAGGTTAGGGCATGGGACTTGAGATCATGATTTTGAGGTCACTGGCATGTAGATGTTAAATATTTCATATTTAAATGACAGCAACTTGGGAGAAGAGAGCTGAAACACTGATGCTAAAGCCCTTCCAGAGCTGAGACTGAGGAAGAGCAGCCAGGAAAAATGACCGAGCAAGGGGGTGACTCTGGAATTCACAGTGGTTCAAGGAGCAGGGCATAGTCAACTGTGTGCATGTGGCTCAGTATTCATGATACAAACCCAGCCCTCCTTTATTTCCCCACCTCTTCCCTAAACGGATCACTATGCTTTTGTGCTTATTACACTCTTGTGTTAGAGGCCTCCTCACTTGCCAAAATCCTGTCTATCCACCACGACCCACCAAGAATGCTATCACCTTGGTAACACATTTCCTAGCTCCACTAATAAAATATGCTTTCTTCTTCCATAATATCCAATAGCCCATTGCATACTATACTTTATTCTGCTTTGTGCTGTCATTATATGTATTCTCTCTTCATCCTTTCTATATCCCAACTGGACTGTAGTACCGGCTGCCAACCCTCATAAGGTAGCAGAATGTTTGGCCTGCTTTAGGAGCTCAATGAAGACTTTCACCGAGTCAAATCCAAAAATATAGAACCCAAGCCTGGAAAAGTATCTGCAAAGAACGATCCCTTCTATCACTTTAGATTTCTGTTTGCCAGCATGTACATCATCTGCACCCAAGTCCGGATTATTTATACATTTTCCTCATCCTTTTTAGAAAAATAGTGGGAGTGAGCATTCCCAGAAAACAAAGTTTTTTTAAAGGCATCTTTTTTTAAAGACTATGTGACAGAAAAGAAAAAACTGAGGGTAGTGTGAGTAAAGCTCCTGTCACATGCCGTGGCTGCATATCTCCTAAGCTAATGGCTGTTTTAAAAACCATTTAGACTCATCTTTCCCCTAGATCTTAGGATGAAAATAACAAGCTGCAAAAGTCCATGGATGAAACAACCTATGCGATCCCTGAACTTCACACTAAAAAGCTAAAAAGACTGAACTAATCCAAGCCTTGGGTTAGAAGTCAGGCAGCAGTCCTTCAGCGTTCTTGATTCAACATCAGCAGGTACTCACATTCTCTTACTCTAAGGAGGAGGAGTGTGGTAGGAAGAAGTCATCTGGAAGGTAGTTTTGGCTAAGAGTTGGAGGAAGAGGAGAGAGAAAAACAGATTATCAATGGTAAACACAGAATCAAAGCTTTATGAACCGAATAGAATTTCTACAGGCCCAATGATCAACAAGAATTGTTTGCCCAGCTGCTATGTGCACCATGCTTTAAAAATACCTCAGGCTTACAGCAAGAAGGTTTATCTTTATGATTTCCTTTATCCTTTCCTCTGTTTTGTACCATGTTGCATCACAGTTGTCTTCCAAAACTAACCACTCTTTCATGGTCAATGGCAATTCAGCAGATTAGAGCCTCAGACTTTTACTAAAAAATTTAAGCCTTTACAGATATTTGTAGATAGACAAACAGCCTAGTGCATAAGGATATACATTATTTTCAGTTTCATATTTCAGATCTACCACACATTAACCGTGTACTCATCTGAGCTGGTTGTTTTGAGTTAAGATTCCCACTTTTTACACTTTCAGACCCATGTATTCAGAGCTGGAAAACTTTCTGAGACTACAAGGTGACAACTGTTACAAATGGCCAGTAGTAGACTGCGTGAGTATAAATAATTAACCCAACATCCCTTTACCGCTAACATATTCTCACAACAATAAAAAGTCCAGTAACCTCCTTTTCTTAATGGTGGCGCCAGTTCAACCACACTCTGGAAGGTATTGGTTTCGTTAAGTACGATGTGGAACTGTCACAATAAAAGGGCAGTATGAGGGAAAACGACAGTGTGGGGCTTTGTGGTCTATAGATCTAGTTGCTCATACGAGAACCTGGGAGGGGAAAACCCCCAAGAGATTAGTCACTTCATTTTGTGCTGCAGAACTCAATTCAGGTTAACAAAGCATTTGCCAACAAAGGAGATGGGAGAATGGCAGTATTCACTTGCTCCAGGCTGAATAAACAAATGTGGGATTTGTGGGCTGACTAATGTCCTGGGATAAACTAGGCTGTCAGCCAAATTCTAGGAGTTTTGATGAAAAGACAGCAAGCCCACACTTTTCTTCATGGAAAGTGCTCCATGGGAGTATTGATGTCCACAAGAGCAGCCTGGGCCTTCAACTTGCCATAAAGATTCACCCGTATTCAGCTTCTGTAATTGCAAACCTAGGTCAAGTGATAGAAGCTGAATTCCGTCTCCTTTTAGACATGTGTTACCACTGTCCCTTTTTAAATGCTACATTACCCTGAAAATATATAGTTAGGCCACTAAAATCTGACTTGGGTTCTATCTTTTCATTCATTCACTGAGTGCCTTCTACACGCTCCAGTTACCGTGTAAGGCTCTGTGGACACGACAGTGACTGAGTCAGATACAGTCCATGCCCTCAGGAAGCCCCCAGGCCGGTCTTGACAACTTCAAAGGTACTGGAAGAGTAATATAATCTTATAATTTTATTTTTGGTTAGAGGAAAGTATTAAAATTTGCATTTTTTTAGTGAGAAAGGCAATAAACCCTTCAATTAAGGTCACAACATAAGTCTGTAGGGAAGTCAGAAATAAGAATAAGGGGTTTCCCTTTATCTGGCCACCAGGGTCTCTCACCACGCTGTGAGGACCACGGTCACCACATAACCCTAGAGCCAAAGTAGATTTTATTCCAAACTGCAGCTAGCAAATGTCAATGACTAGTTTCACAGGTTCTTAACTAACTCAAGAACAACTGCCCAGCAGCAGCTGATGTAATCTCCTTTAATCTGTAAGGCCGGCTTATCCACTCAGACCAGAAACATATATGGTGTATGCGGACTAAAAACAAAATCCCTGGAATGATCCACTGTGAATACATAAACCAGAGGGAGAAAGTTTACTGCAGCAACTGATATAAAGGGAGTATTTTATGGGTCTCCAAAAATTCTCCAACGTTCCCTGAAATGCAGGGTCTTCTTAAGTAGTATTTACCTACACTGGAGCTTTCACACTGCCCATATGAAGACCTCATCCCTATGACTTATTAACCCTGCAGAGTCCTGGCAGGAGGTTGCCAAGCTGCAAATTTAGAGAATTAGTTTTAAGGGGCATTATATGTAACTGCCTTTAGAAGGAAATTCAGGTAGATTAGCAGAGATTTTAAGCAAGCTCTTTCACAAAAAACTGGCAAGGAATCTAGGGTTTATGAAGTCATCAAATCAGTACCAAGTTTAACACATTTAGGTTAGTCTTGTAAACATAACTGTTTAGGAATAAAGGTATTAACAAAATAAGGTTTGGGAAAGGAGCATAAGTCCTGCTTAATTACTATGACGAGAAGAGGGAGAATTGAAAGAGAAAGCTATAGACAAATGGGAAAAGAGCTATGTCAGGTTTAAAATGGAAGGAAGAAAACCTGAAACTGGGAGCAGTTGATAAGCAGGTAGCAGAAGCCACCCACAAAAAACTCTATTTGACCAGTGGCTCAGTGTGAGCCTTGAAGGAGCAAGAGAAGTCCACAGCCCACAAACCAGAGGAAGGCCTGCACAGGAAGCGGAGAGGAAGATAGAGTGCTATGGACTTCGGGACAGGATGAAGCCAGTCCATGTGAGGTTCAAGAAAACCAAGCAGGCAGTACAGGCATCAAAGTGTTTCCTTGTGTCATTAACTCAGGACCACATCCTGATTTCAAGCACCATGGAACCACGGATGGAAAAGCTGTGCAACAGGCCATTTTTTAAAACCTCTCTCTGCTGTTTGCTTGCCAGAGATGATCAGAACCCTCTCTGAGCGCCTCACAGGGCACACACTGGATCCCACAGAGGTGAGCGATTTGATGGGCAGTGTCAGATTTCTCAGCAAAATTAGACAAGCAGCTAGACTTGACAAGTAGCATGGTGCAGCATAGAGAGCTTCCCTAGACAGTGCCAGAAAATGAGGTGCCAAAAGCCGGGGGGGTAGTTATTAGAAGATGGTTACCGCCTCTGATTGTCTGACTACAGCCTGTTCATCGCCAGAAAACTGCTACAGTAGAATCCAGCCAAAGCAATCACTGTTCTCTTAGGAAACATTCACCGTTCATGTGAGCTCTTGGTAACTTCCCTGCTGTTTGCAAAGTGGCTAGACAGGGCAGTGACAGCGATTCCTATTGTCCACTAAGAAGAAATTGCCCAGCGGGATTTTAACCTTTCATTAGATTTTAGCCAGGCTGTTTCCTTTGGTGACCTCTCAGCTGGGGCTTCTTTAGCAGCCAAGTTCTAGTGCATTTCACCTCTACTGTCATCAAAGCAGCTTGAAGGAAGGAAAAGCAGAAAGAGGTCAAGACACCCCAGCTCTACCCCTAATCAGCTACAAGGTCTTTGGCCCAGCCAAGTTGCTTCTCTGTGTTCCTTTTTCCTTTAGTCATAAAACAGGATCATATGAAACCACTCTCACAGGGTTGTAGAGAAAGCCACAGGAGAGAACAGATGGGCAAACTGTTACAGAACGTATCCATGTGTACATACTTACGTGTGTGTGTGTGTATACATACAGCTTTTTAAATGTTTTCCAATTGAATACAAGTAAAGTGTAGATTTGACAAGTACCTAGGTAAATTGAGTGATACGGAAAATCTTGATATTTTAGAACAAAAATGCCTCCCTTGGTTTTAGGGGAAAAGACAGTTGTCTAAATTGTTCAGACCACTTTTCTTCTCCAGATCCTAGTCATGGAATCTATACGAGACTGATTGCAGAGGCCAGAGACAAAAGATTTTGAGGAAAAAATAGTAATAGCTACTGATCATTAAATGCTTACTATATGCTGGCCAATCTCTGAAGCACTTTACAGATACTATTTCTCTTTCTCTTCGTTACAATCCCATAAGTATGTATTATTTAATAACAATATACATTATGCCTAAGTTTATGAATAAATGTAATGTTTGAACTGATATTCAAACTCACGTCTGTCTGACTTCAGGGCCCTTGATCTCAGTCAGAGCCATTCTAGCTCTGTGAAGAAAATCATGTTTCTCTTTTGCCTCTGCTGGAGGCTTTAGCATTTTTGCTTTGCTATTAAAAGTTGGCCCATGTGCTCTGGCTGTCCTTTGGGCCAGACCCTGCATGGTCCCTCATGGAAGAGGAGATGGCTACTGGAGGGTGACACGGAGGAAGTGGTGTGAGGGAAGAGTTCTAAAAGGAGAGGGTGAAGAAGCTTCATGACTGAAGCTCTGTGGGACTCTACTCAGCTCTGAAGGGCTGCATGTCTTGGGTAAATACCACAGAAGTTTGTGTTTAGACAGAACAGGAAGGGGTTTTTTCCTATATTCTCTGCTCATTCCACTTAGACTAAAGCTATTCATCAGATGTGGCAATGAGAAATTTTATTCAATTAGGACTAATGTCTAAAAGGTTGCTGTTTCCAACCCCTCACCTGTTACCTCCCTCAAACAGTTTCTTTGGAATTAGATACGCTCCAAATAGGTGTCCCAATTTTGTCCTATAAAGCAATACTGACTCAGGAAAAGGTGCTAATATGCTTCAGCACAAAGCTTGAACCCTAGAAGAACCACATAGCATATTCGCCCAGTTATTAGATGTTATTTAGAAACACCAACTGGAAAAGAGTTCAACATAGAATTTCAGAATTGAGAGTAATAATAATAGCTGAATAGCTAATATTTGTTGAGTCCTAACAGAATGGAAAGCATAGTGCCACACCTCTTACACAAATTATTTCATTTGAATTTTGCAATATCCCTACGAGGTAAGCACTGTTATGATTCCCATTTTCAAATAAGAAGACTAGGTTTGCCACCAATATTTCTCATTGTCAGAATGGCCACCAAAATGACAAAGGAGGGTACAGTGGGCAAGAATAATGAAACATTTTCACATATCCCCCTCTTTGGGCACCTCACTTTTCCAGTGTTCTCTCAGATATCTATTCCATCACCCAAGGTGGTTCAAAAATCCATTCTTTTGTCCTGCTGCTTCCCTGACATGGATTGGTGACTCATGAAATATGAGTATAGTCCATGTAAGTATAGCCCATAAAATTATCCAGAAAAAAACCCCCAATAAAACCTTAAAAGAAGCAATTAAAGATATTTAGTT